TTAGGTGAAAGGGCAATGGGTGAAAAGGAAAAATTGAACTTTTATGATTGGATGCTGTCATGACTCATTTCTTTAGAAAGGATCAGGGTCAGAATGGAATATTAAACCTTTGCTTTTAAACTACAAATACTAAACCTTTGATTTTAAAAACCATAACCATTTCCAATTTCAGAGAAGCAAATCTTCCACTAAGGAAATAATTTTGTTTACTGATCCTATGCATGTTTGTGTGCAACTTACCAAATGATAATGATGATGCTGCACCAGGAATCCCTTCTTAGTAGTAGTCTAAGCAGCATACTAACAACAGTTAGCATGAATGCCAAGCAAGAAACAGATAATCAATTATGTAATTGAAGTGGGGGGAAATGGGGAGTTTGCAAAAGGGTCATTGGCATACCTGCATACTTGACTAGCACCACAACCAAGCAGGAGATAATATGTACAAAAAAATTGTGTTTTCCTAATCAATGTAAAGAGCTACATGCAGGCATTCTCCTGGCAACTATGGGATGGCCTAATTAATCCCGCCTCTCATCTTCCTTTCTTCATGGTTATTTAGGGCAATTTCTCAAATTCCCCAATGTATCAATAGGTCCAAAATGGTTGGGAATAACTACATTAGAGGGATTTTAAAATTAGGAAATAAAGTTGCAGGCTTCCAATTCAGCACAGAATTATTAAAAGGAGCATTCTCATAAGAACTATACTCCCCTCCCCATGTATGTTTTCTTGATCATTAATACACAATCAGCTAGTTCATACATTACATGTTTAGGTGTGCAGCATAGGTAGTGTGGAATGTCCACACTGATGTACAAATAAATGCCAGAGAGAAGGGAGAACAAGCAGATTGGAACTCTGCCTTCCTGCCTCACCCTTCATCTTTATAGGTTCATAGTACAGTAGTCCGGTCCTGATCCACAAAGTCATTTGTATACTAAAGGAAAGTCTGTACAAGACATAAAAGAACACTGAAACATTTGAATTATGAACATTTTAAACAGTTTGCATACATGTTTCACAGAGGGATCAGATTGGCTGAAACTCTGTTGAGCTCAGCTTCTTTTTTAAACACAGATTTGCCTCTCCTTGTGTGACATGTTTATCTTTTAGGAGTTTATAGTAAGTGGACTTCTGAAGAAATTACTACAAATGCTTAGGAGGCATTTTGGTATCAGACTAGGGTAAAAAATAGCAGTGCAAGATCCAGTTATTTCAGTGACAAATCAAACAATTTTCACATGTACTGAAAAGTTAGTAGACAATGGCTGACGCTATTCCAAGAAGCAATGAAGCTTTTCCAAAATTCACCACTAGTAGGAGGTAGCGTATTTCTTGTCTTTATCAGACAGGAGAGTGAAGCAAGAACTGAAAGCAATAGAAGAAAGCAAGAACTAAAGCAAAAGCATATGCTAAAAATAAGTAACCAGTTGGAAGTTGTAGTTTGCTTTTAATATGCAAACATTCAGAGCATGCATATAAATGGTGCACCAGTGGGCATTTTGAACCTGGCCTATCTATGTCTTAAAATAAGTTGTATAAAAAACCAGCTCAGTCAAAGGAGAAACCCCCATCCTATCCCATATTCTCCTTAAATAAGGGAATAAATAAATATATAAAGACAATTTAACAAAGCAGATCATGCATTTTTAACCTCGTGGCTCAGCAGGGGGAAAAACAAGTCAATGAGAAATCTTCCCCACTGGTATGCACAATAGCAGACATCCAATTCAATAGACGTTTATCAGCAGTGAAACCTGATTTAGATAAATGAGGAAGCTGTTGAGCCACAGCCTTCCTCTGCCTGCTGCAGGCTGTCAGATAAAATGGGAACAAAAGCTCCCTGCTGAACCCCCCACCAGTCTCCATTAGCCCCTGCTGATGCTTTATTATCTGGGGGCTACTCAGGCATTGCAGCATGAATCAGTAAGCTGAAAGAAAAAGGAAAAGGGGGAAAATACACGTATGAGGCACGAGGGAAAATCAAGACAAAATCTGGCATTGAAAGAGGCATCTTCCTTTTTTGGTAATGTAGCAAGCTTATTATCTAACATTGCACGCAAGAAACAAAAGGGTGATTCTTTCTTAAGCAGCTTTGGAAGCCTTTATGATTTCATTTCATTCTATATAGTTCACAAAGCTCCAAAAACTATTTTATATATTATAAGCACAGTTATATAAAACACTATTGTCATCAGGCACAAATATAAATATGCATCCTGAGGATGAACAGATATTACCTTTTGGCTATAAAAGGTAAAGGTTTCCCCATGGCATTAAAGTCCAGTCATGTCTGACTCTTGGGGGTGGTGCTCTTCTCCGTTTCCTAGTCGAGGGAGCCAGCGTTTGTCCACAGACAGTTTCCGTGGTCATGTGGCCAGCCTGGCTAAACACCGAGGTGCACAGAACGCTGTTACCTTCTCACAGAAGTAATACCTATTTATCTACTTGCATTTATATGCTTTCAAACTGCGAGGTTGGCAGGAGCTGGGACAAAGTACAGGAGCTCACCCCATCCTGTCTGCAGATTTGAACAGTCGACCTTTCAATCAACCAGGCCAGCAGCTCAGCAGTTTAAACCATTGCGCCACTCACATGTCCCCTTTTGGCTATAGGAAGGTATAAATAAATAAATAAATAAATACTAATTTTAAACATCTTTTCTAGGTTATATAACAGTGCACCATTTAAGGCATCAACTCCCACTTCCCTCACTATCTGAAGACAACTATGTTGTCAGCTGTGGGAACTGTAAATTTGTATCTTTTAAAATGTGAATGAAGGCCTGTTCTTTCTAGAAGGAAGTGATGGAGGAAGAAGGGGGTGACTAGGCGCAGCTGTGGCAGCATTGTAAAAATAGAAACAGTATTTTCTTAAATATAAATAGTATCTTTGTAAAATGTAAATTGCGCAGAGCTTGCTGTAAAATGTGATCTGTCTGTCCTAGGAGATAAGGGAAAGAATGAGGCACATACACAGATTCTTTCACAGGAACAAAGAAGATGAGCTAACAACTTTTGGAGGAACTTTAAACTGCTGATGGAAAGGCAAGAAAACCAATAAAATTGCAGTTACTAGAGTTCTACCATATACGGCACACCGGAAGATTGTACGCTCGAGAGTAGCCAACCAATGGCAAAACGAGAGTAGAGTTGAGCAGCGGGAAAATTAGGATGTATAAAATCTCTTGTAAACTGTAAAAGATCACTCTTTGTTTCTCAGACTACTGAGACATTGAGTCAGTCTTTGCAAACGCTTTTTGTATGGAATAAATGGCTTGTATCTACCTGAATCCTGTCTAATGGAGTTTTAAATCTCACATCAGCTATGAATGCATCTATGACATCATTGTGACATACACTTTAGTCAAATAAAACAGAAGGTTTTTGTTTTTTTTAATCTAGAATGGGTGCTGAAAATTGCATGAGAAAAATCAGGCATTTTCATGATGTCAGAGAGGTTGCTAATCCTAGTAAATCTTTTTATTTGCTCCTTTAATTGTGATTCTGGTATCATTTAAATCCCTAGAACAGCCACATGCATTCTTAATGTTGTAAAACGGGTGGGCTGAAAAGAAATCTCCAGAACCTCTGAACTTCAACTCCCAGAACTGCTGCCCATCAATCATGCCTGACAGTGACTTCTGAGAGTTCAAGTCCTAAATATCGGGACAATTTTCTGCCCATCCCCATTTTGTAAAATGAATCAGGATTCACTTGGGTAAAATATATTCCTTTTGCAAGATAATAGTAGTACTCTGTTTCCCACTTCATCAGTGTTCTGTTCTCCATTGCATTTATTTTTTATTCTATGGTTCAGAGCTACAGAGAATAGGAACACCAGAACTAAGGTAATGACAAGTGTACATTATTATTCTAGTGACTGACTACACTTGAATTTGTGTTAACTATTCCAGTATTGCTGTGTTACCAGCATAGAGATCTTGGGAAATCACATTCTAATTGAAAATCTGCTTTAAAATATAACTCTCATTTTTTAAAAAAAAATTCTCCTCAAAAGCTTCTAACACAATAATGCTTCAGCTTAAGTACCAAAAAACTGTACTGTAAGACTCCTTACTTGCTTACTTAGCAGGCTGGCAGCTCGAACCACACTTGCAAGGAGTCTTTAAGGCTGTCATATCTTCTAAGGAGTGAGCCAATCATTGTTATCTGTAATGTCAGGGCTAACCATACAGATAGAAGAGGACCATACATGTTGCCTTGCTGGAAAGCGAGCCAACTTTGGACAAAGCAGCAATGCCAATAAGTAAATGGGGGACTAAATTAAAGCAGGAATGCAGCAAGAGCAAGCTGACCATATCATAAGTAAAAGTGCATTCGTAAGAAGAAGCCACACAAAGTAGTAAAAAATAGGGATGCTTCAAGTCCTTCTAAGCCAGGCTTGAAGAAGTATTTCAGGGTTTAATATTTTCAGGCTGCAAAATTGTTTTTTCATTCCATTAAGAACTAACATGACCACTCATTCCTATGGCAGTGGGAAGAATGCTCTGAGATCAAGGTAATTTTTCCAGAGCCTTTGGAACACCTCAGGAAATTTCTGAGTTTATCTCAGGGGAGCTTACCCATCTGTTCTAAAAAGAATTACAGGTCATTGTGAGATTTACACTAATTTCAGCTGTTAATAGAAGGACTAAGGAATAGGAAACATAATGTTCAGAACTGGAAATTTGAGATAAAAAGTGCAAAAAAGTTACAGCAGTTAAATTCTTTCAGTTTCTATAACAGAACTATGGTAACAATTCGTTTCTCGTTGTTTTAAAGGATGCACAAACCTTTTTTTTAGAATTTCACATACTCATTAAAAGATTCAGAGAAATCCCACAGAGGACACTAGTACCAGAATTCATCAGTAGTCTATTCTAATGATATGTGCTTTTTGTGATTACTACTGCTTCCTGTACTATCAAAATAAATTCATGATAGCCTGCCTCAGGACAGTATCTCGGACTTCAGGCAAAATAAATATAAACAGACCTCAATTTTGTCCGTTTTGGCATCTCCCCAGTAAATCTTGTTTTCATTATAATCCAATGCCAATCCATTTGGCCAACCAAGTGAAGTGTTCACAAGTACAGTTCTGTCTGATCCATCTAATGCAGCCCTCTCAATCTTTGGAACCTCTCCCCAATCAGTCCAATACATGTAGCTGAAAGATAAAACAGAAAGGGAGCAATAATTTACTATCATCACAAAGAACACTTCTTGGGCAATAGAGTGGGTGTGTTCTGTGTTCATAAATGCCAATATGTGAGCCGCCTCGAGGCTTCGGCAAATGGGGTGGCATAGAAGCTTCCTAAATAAATAAATAAATAAATGTGTTATAAATTTCTGCTTCAGAGTGACTTGCATGAAACCAAAAAACATGTGCGATGCTATTCAACTAAGATCCGACAATAGTCTGCTATACAATTCCCATAAATGTGCACTGTACAAGCATCAGCACCGAGCACATTTAGAACATCACTAGCAACATGCCGAAAGACATCAAGATTTATATGCATTTCCATCTTTCCATTTTTATTCAAGAGAGATAAGGGAGAAATCCTTTAAATAAAAAGATGCTCTTTAAATTACACTAATGGGTTATGTTTACAGGGTGCAACATATATCTACATCTGCTTAGCCCATTTTGAAAGCAAAAAAATACTGTAGGGTTAGGCAACTTACTCTAATTACATTTGCCTTTTACAGCACTCCATAGCACTTTGAGCACCTTTAAATCGGGCACCTTTAAAAAGTGGGGGGCATCTACCCCATGAATCATGTGTCATCTGCCTCAAACATAGATGATCCAAGTAACTATTGAAATCCCATAGCACACCTAAGACAAAGTCACCTATGAAAGGGATCAAGGCAATGTAAGAACTGATAGAAACATTTTCAAAATAACAAGAAATTACCAATGTTACAATTTCTTAAATTGTTAAAGAGTTGTGGTGAAAACAAGGAGAACACACATTGATGCCCATGAACTTAAGGGAAAGGAAGTGTTTCTGGTCTTATCTTTTTTATCATTTCAGTCAACCAGCTGCAGCCTGATTGACAGTCAGAATTATTCAGCAAACCTCCCAAGAAACCCAAGCAGAGTTGCCCTCTGAAGAGGGCTGTTTATTTGTCCATATTTATATGCTGTTTACTTTAGGCACTTCAGCTGCTCATCACATTTTCATTGTGTTCAAGCTTGTGCTTGGGAGAAACCAGTATGTTTAATAAACACCTCAAGCCTCTATTGCAATTCCAACAGTAGGAGAGCACTCTGCTTTTGTTTCAGCTTGGGAAAAAGTTGCTAGATCAGCTTTGGCAACTTTAATGTCTTAAACCCCTTTAATAAAATACTGTGCCTTACCCAACCATAGGATCCAAAACAATAGCTCTAGGTTCTTCCAGGTCTTCAGAGATCAAGATCTTCCGCATAGTCCCATTAAGCCTTGTTACTTCAATGCGATCCGTACCAGTATCAGTCCAATAAAGGTTTCGGGCAATCCAATCTACAGCAATACCATCAGGATGTGCAATTTGTGCCTGGACAACAAATTGGCTAGCTGAGCCATCAATGAAAGAGCGCCGGATAGCCCTCACCTCATCATCTGTCCAGTAGATGTAACCTTCTACAGGATCATAGTCAATAGCAATGGCATGCCGAATGTCTTCCAATTGTAAAACAATATCAGTGAAATCTGGGGTGTCCAAAGATATCCGCCTCAGGTCAGTCCTCCGAGCTAATAGCAGCAATTCAATGGCACCTGTATAGATTTATATTTTTAAAACCATCAGTTACCCTATTTACATTTACCCTTCCTGCATGTTTCTTTCTCTTCACTGAACATGCTCAGAGTAACACAAATCCAATTTTGGGCTTACAACAATATAATACAGCATAATAAACAAACAATTTTATCAGATGGATTGGGATGCAAGACTGGGGTGCAATCTTATCAGATGCATTGGTCACTTTTCCAAGGCCACCTAGTGAGCTTGACAGTTGAAGAAGATCTGAACCTGAGTTCCCGCATTCATGAAAGTAGACAGTGTTATGTATCTTTCAAATTAGATAACTGATTGACTAACATGTAAGTTATAGTTGCTTTGATGTAAATTTTATATTTCCCCAAGCTTCTTGCCAGGACCTGTTACAGTTTCAGTCCTACTCACAAGGAATTGAGTTACTAAAGTGACAGGAGATTTATTAATCTGGAGTTGTCACAAGACAGTAATAATTAATAATAGTATTCAAGTATTGGACCTGAATGTTCAGGTGGCCTTTTCCTCACTTTTGCCAGTTCATGGATCTGAAATGACCAGGGACAGAAGGGTTGTGGAGACTAATGACTGGCTGAGGGCATGGTGTTGGAAGGTACACTTTGGATTCCTTGACTACAGCAATTTGTTCCTCTCCAAGGGACTTCTGGCAAGGGATGAGATACCCTCACCAGGATGGGGAAAAGGACCTTCAGTAATACTTTAGCAAGCTTTGTCTGGAGGGCTTTAAACTGATCAAGTTGGGGTGGGGAAGACCAGGCACCCCAGAAACAAGTCAAGATCAATCAGGAGAAGGAACAAGATCAGGATTTCAGGAGGAGAGTGCTATAGGGACTGCAGAAGCTGGCATGACTACTGCACAGAGGGTTCCTGCTGTGCCAGGGAGGGCAGGAGGAAGGAGGATGCTGAGTGAGCTAGGAAAAGGGGTTTGCAGGAAAGAGATGAGATGTATATACACCAATGCGAAGAACATGGAAAACAAGCAGGAAGAGTTTGAGTCTCTCCTGGGAAGAGGTGGGTATGACATGGTGGGTATCACAGAAACATGGTGGGATGAAAAGCAGGATTGGAATGTCAACGTAGGATATGCTCTCTTCAAGAAGAACAGGAAGGAAAAGAGGGGAGGGGTGTAGTGCTATATGTTAAGGAAGAAATAAGATTGCAATGAGATGGGGACAGGGTAGAAGGGGATCAGGTACAGGCAGTCTGGGTAAGATTGATGGGTCTAGATGGGAGCAGGGATGTAATATTCCACATAAGACCCTGGACAATGCTCTGACAGACCAGACTGGAAGGATATTCCAGGGAAGGGACACAGTCATAATGGGACATTTCAACCTCCCTGATATTAGTAAGGAGATGTACTCAGCAGCAACAGGTAGGTCCTGTTGCTTCCTAGAAGCTATGGGAGGAGGTTTTTCACCCGTAGGGTCCAGAAAGCAACTGGGGTGTGGGAGGAACACCCTACACTTGGTTTTGACTAACAGGGAGGATTAGGTGGATGATATGCAGACTAGGGGAATTCTGAATGTGAGTGACCACTCCATCCTGTGCTTTGTGATCAGGAGAACAGAGATGAGTGGTAGGTCAGGTACTAGGAGATGGGACTTCATGAGGGCCAACTTTGGTCAATTAAAGGCCAGTTTGGAGAAGTTTCCTGGGAGAAGGTACTGGAAGGCAAGGGAGTTCAAGGGAATGAATGGCACTAAAAAGGGAGGTCTTGAAGGCACAAACCTTAACAATACTGCTATTAGCAAAGAGGGAAGGCATAGAGGGGCATCACTGTAGATGCAAAGAGAGGTGGTAAGAGGGATTAGAAGTAAAAGGGAATTCCACAGGAAATGGACACTGCAGCAAGTGGACAAAAGGGTATACCAGGAAGAGGTGGCTCAATACAGAAGAATTCTTCGCAGGGCTAAAGCTGATTATGAACTGAGGCTTGTGAAGAATGTCAAGAGCAACAAAAAGGGCTTCTATTTTCCTGTTAAATAGTAAAAGGAAGAGGAGACAGGCAGTGGAGCCATGTAAAGGGAAGGAAAGAATCTGGTAACTAGTATAAGGGAAAAGGCACAGATGTTAAATGATTATTTTGCTTCTGTGTTCTCCCCAAAGCAGGTTGTGGGAGATATACCTGGGGAGCCAGGTGAGGTTGGGATTATGGGGGCATATATTAGAACCATTCCCCTACAAGTTGAGGAGTTCCTTAGGACCCTGGTCATTACAAAGGCACCAGCTCTTGATGGGTTACACCTGAGGCTACTTCGAGAATTGGAAGGGGTACTCTTGCATCTGTTCATTTTTGATGCCTCATGGAAATCAGAAGTACAGAAGGGTAGCATCAGGGGTCCCAATCTTTAAAAAGAGTAGCAGAGGGGACAAGTGGAATTACAGGCCAGCTAGCCTAACATACATTCTGGGAAAGATGATGGAAAGACTCATAATATGGAAAGCTCTGGAAACCATAGATGGGAGGGGGAGGTTGGCAGCCATACAACATGGCTTCTGAAAATACAGGGCCTGTCAGACAAATCTTATGGAATTCTATGGCAAGATTTTGAGGTGGCTAGATGGAGGGAACATGGTGGATGCGGTTTGCCTGGACATTAGAAAGACCTTTGACAAGGTGCCACATGATATCCTGGTTGAGAAATTGCTGAGATTCAGGATAGATCAATGCACTGTCCAATGGATTAGGACATGGTTAATGGACTGCAAGTGGAGGGTGACTATCAGTGGCTGGAGAGCAGCACTTGTGAAAGGAATCTTGAGGGACTGGTCGACAGCAAGCTAAACATGAGCCAGCAGCATGATGCAGCAGTTAAGAAGGTGAACACCACCCCTCAACGTATAGCCAGAAGCATGGCTTCCTGATCAAAGGTGTATGACTCTGATGCGTCCACAATTGGAGTAGTGTGTCCAATTCTGAGCTCCACATTAGAAAAAAAAATAGCTAGGTTAGTGTCAGTTCAATGCAGGGTGACAAGGATAGTAGCCAAATTGGGAGAGTCGGGGATGACATATGAGATGATACTGAGGGAGCTGGGTCTTTTTAGCCTGTAGAAGGGGAGACTCCGAGTGGATCTAATAGTGACATACAACTATGCAAAAGAGGTGTCACATGGAAGAGTTGTGACCTGTTTTCCCCCATGATGGAGAAGATGCAATCCAGTGAGGCAAAGTTCAAGGAAATAGGTTTCAGATTGGATGTCAAGAAGTACAGGATATGGAATGGGTTTCCATGGGAGGTGGTTGAGACCCCATCAGTGAGGGTGTTAAAAGGAAATATTGGGCAACCAAATGTTGGATATTAAATGAGTGGACACTACTAGAGCCAGGGGTCAGACAGGATTGTGCAAGAAACTCCTTCAGACTTGCCATGTTTCTAAGTAATATATTGCTAATATATTAATGTCCTAATGCTGATCTTTGTGAACTACACTCAGGAGGCCTTGATTGAAGTGCAGTATATAAATATTCCCAAAAAAATAAAGTTCTGTTCAAGGGCATATTCTTCCTTTAAAATGTCAATTTATACTGAGGAAAATTATTCACTCATTCCATTTATATACTACTCAATAGCCAAAGCTCTCCAGATAGTTCACAACCTTTTTAAAATAGCAAAAAACAACTCAAAGCATAATTTTAAAACACTATAAAATTTAAAAGTTTAAGAATGTGGTATTAAACTTAGAATTAAAAAACAGTAAGATTTAGTAGCAGTACAAAGATTTAAAACAGAATACAGGATATATATTTCATTCATTACTCAGAAAATAAGGTTTTCATCTGGCACTGGAAAGAGTACAAAGAAGTGACCAGGATAGTCTCTCTGGGAAGTTCATTCCATAGCAGAATACAAAGGGCTCCCTTCTTAGTGGCTACTGATCTAATATCTCTGGGCAAGGGGTCCCACAGAAGAACCACTTCGGTCTGTGCAGGTAAATATGGGAAGAGATTATCTTTCAGGTAACTTGACCCTAAAGCTGTTTAGAGCTTTGAATGCTAACACCAGCACTTAGAATGGGGCCTAACAATTGACTCACAGCCAGTGTACTGTAGGTAGTAAAGTACGAACAGTCCCTCTTAATATTCTTGTTGTTCTGTTTTGGAACACTGACATTTTCTGGACCATTTTCAAAGATGGCTCCGTGTATATTGCACTGCAGTAATCTAATCAATAGGTTACCAGAGCATGAATAATTGTAGGTAAGCTATCCCTGTTCAGATAAGGACATCATTGGTATATCAGTCAAGGCCAGCCTTTCCCAATCTGGTGACCTTTAGAGACATCTGGACCATATTTCCCAGAATTTCCAGTAGGGCCACTGACTGGATTCTGGGGGTTGCAGTCCAAATGTGTCTGGAAGGTATGAGGTTTGGAAAGGCTAGTCTAAGCTGATAAAAGGTACTCCATGTCAGTGAGTCCACCTACGCCTTTAGTGACAATGCTGAATCCAAGATCACCCTCAAACAACAAACCCAATCTGTTAGGGGAGGGGGGCTTGGCACAGATCTGATAGTGCAAGCAGCTAAACCTCTTGAGTTGGCCAAAGGGCAGCCTTAAGTTGAAAGGCCTGTTGGTTCTGGGTCTATTTCTCTTCTTGCTCATACCAGAGTGTAGGAAACGGAATAATCAATTCAAGCTACTACAACCTAGATTCAGGATAGATATCAGGAAAAAATTCCTCACTGTCAGAGCAATACGACAGTGGAACCAGCTGTCTAGATTGGTGGTGAGCTCTCCCACACTAGAGACATTTAAAAAGAAACTGGACAGCATCTGAGTGGAATGGTATAAACTGATGTCCTGCAACAGCAGGGGGTTGGACCTGATGACCTTCATGGCCCTTTCCAACTCTACTATTCCAACTCTAACCTATCTATGGTCACTGGCAGTCAAAAAGGGAATGGGTGGGTGGAAACAAGAGGGGGAGCGGCTCCTACTCACAACTTGAACACCTAGATTTATAAGCTTTTCCCGATT